GAACTAGTGGCCTAAATCATGCCTAACACATGCTAACTATCTGCCTCCAAACATGCTAACGTGCCCACACATGTCGACGATACAACTATATTCTCTAACTCATGCCAACAATGGGCAATGGCTACCCATTAAATGGTGACGGCAGCACCAACATTTGCTAATGATGCATTTGGTCTTAGATTAGGTCAAGGAATATTTTTTTTGAGATTAATCGTATATTTATGTTGGGCAATGCATGGCATGCATGTTTCGTAGACATAGGCTTGGCCAAGTTGATTAGAGCGGATGTGTGAGTTCGAATTCCCTCTTTGTAGTTTAGATTAAATTAGAGTATAATATCTTCTGTATAAAAAAATTAAAAAAAATGCATAGCATGCAAAAGATGAGAATCCATTGTAAACAATTATAAAATTAAAAAAATATATTATAATCAATTTTTTGATATCTTATAGAGATTTTAAAAAATCCAGATTCTGCCATTGATATTACTCATCGATCATTGAGTTATTTCGTGCGAAAGTAAACCTGATGAACACCCTACGCTAGTTTTTGTCTCTTAATCTTTGAATTTCATGTTCTTTGTCCCTTTGTTAATTAATAATCATTAGTAATCTAATCCAAACTGCAGTATAAATATAGCTCTTGAAACGTGGAGAGTGATATTAAAATGAAATTCAAAGTCAGAAGAAGAGACAAAGACTAGCGTGGGTTGAGCTGGATCATCAGAAATTAAACATAGCTTCAGCTGGGAAATTTAAGCCTCTGCTCTCTGCCCCCATTAATTTACACCCCAAGGGTGAGTGGCCAGCACTGCACCGACAACTCTCACAGCTGCAAATATAAGACAGAGTCCAGTCACATAACCTTGACTATTTGCTGCGTGTGAACAATATTAGAACCATTATTTCAGGAAGATAAAAAGTCAAACAAAACTTTTATCTCCTAAAACCCCATACACACAGAGAAAAAAACCCCTCAGTATTAAAATATTTGACACAGGTATAAATTGGCAAGCCCTCCTCCCACTTCTTCAACCATCAGCTACCTCCACCGCTGATTAGCAATCAATTAGAGAACAATACTTCCTCAGCTATTCACAGCCTAATTCTCTTTTGCTCACTAGTGATCTTTCACACCATCACCACCTCCTCACAGCCTAATTTTCTTTTGCTCACCAGAGAAAGTTTGCCATTTGCTTGAGCTCCTCCACAAGCTCAAACGGTGCCGTTTTCTTAGGTTACTGGCCTTACGTTTTGCTTCCGGGGATTGATGTGTCCAAGTCACTTGTTTACACCCCGTTGCTCCTCAACCCTTTCAGCACGGCCCCTGGCTACGTGGCAGACCCTTCTGCAGAGTATTTCATCAACGTAAAGTCAATCAAAATTAACGGCAAAACTGTGTCGTTTAATACTTCGTTGCTAATCTTTGACCAATATGGCTACGGCGGCACAAAAATCAGCACCGTCAATCCTTACACTGTGCTGGAGAACACAATCTACAACGCTTTTGTTGATGCATTTGTGAAGGAATTCCCTGCTCACGTGCCTAGAGTGGCAGCTGTAGAACCCTTTGGAGCATGCTTCAACTCAACGCATATCAGGAAGACACGTGTCAGGCCGGTTGTGCCTAACGTTGATTTTGTGTTGCAGAGCGAGAGTGTGTACTGGAGGGTACTTGCAACAAATTCGATGGTGCAAGTGAGCAAAGATGTGTTGTGTTTAGGGTTTGTGGATGCAGGGTTGAGCCCAAGTAACCCTAGAACTGCCATTGTGATCGGAGGGCATCAACTGGAGGAGAACTTTTTGCAGTTCGATTTGGCTGCTTCTAGGCTTGGGTTCAGCTCCTTGCTCTCGTCAGGACAGACAACCTGCGCTAACTTCAACTTCACATCTAATGCTTAGAGACAAAGAGAACATTTCCTTGCTAGTGGCCAGCGGCTAGCTGTCCATGCATGCGCTTTACTTTTTGTTTTTGTTTTTCCTTATTCATATGTTTTTTTTTTTGTATGTTACGTGTTTAACAATTGCTTTTGAATACGAACATTCATGAATCCTTCCTCTAAAATTCTAGTCTCGAGTCTCAGTTTACGGCCTTGTTTGGTGGGCTGGATTGGACTGAATGTTTTCAATTAAAATGGACATGGGTCCTAACCATTGTTTGGTGAGCTTAAGTTTGTCTCGGACTGGATATATATATATATATGGACATGGGATCCATGTCCCAAATAACTATGGCTCCAGAACCCAAGCCCAGATGTGGGTTTAGAATCCGAGTCTTTTCCAGAGAGCCAGCCCGCCTCTTCTCTCTTCTGTTGACGAGCCTGCCTCTTCTCAAGTTCTTCTTTTCTCTCTATTTTTTTGGTCGAGCCCCCTTTCTTCTTCTTTTCTCTCTTTCAACCAATCTTCTCACTTCAATCTATCTCGCTCTCTCTCTTGGAAATAGGAACAAGAAAAATGGAAGGCAATGGTGGGTTTGAGGAGGAGGGGAAAGGAGATCTGGGACCATAATTTTTTTCTTTTCATTTTCTAGGTTTTGTGCCTAAACTCGGAATCGAGGGCCCTTTCCTTCAAAAGTGGAAGAAGATATTTGTAGCATCATGTCTGTTTGCTGTTCTGCTAGATCCATATTGTTTCTCTACTTTCCTATGTTCAAGGATGATATCAAGTGCCTACATTTGACATAAACTTGAAGATAGCCGCTCCTCTTTTAAGATCATTCACTGATCTTTTCTACATATTTGACTTACTTTTTAAATTAATTGTGAATATTTTTTCATTTTCTGGGTTTTTGAATTTTTTAAATTTAAATATTGGTTCTGTAATTTGATGCATTTTTTATTTATTTTTTATGATATTAAATAATCTAATAAACAGTAAATTTATTTTAAAATTTATAAATTTAAAAAAAAAAAAAATCCAATGATGTCCATTGTGGCCTTGTCCCAAACAATGGACTGGACTGAAGTCCAATCCAGTCTAGTGCTTTACCAAACAACTCAATAGGACTGTTAAAAGTAATGCATTATCTACAGTTTAAATTTAGAAAATAAAATTATTAGTTGTATATTTTCTTACAGGTTTCTTATGAAGAGTTGTATCTCTTGACCATATGAGAAGTTGTATCTTTTAGATATCAAAAGTTGTATATGTATCTCTTGGAATTAATTCAAGAGTGTGTCTTGTTATGTAAAGGTGTAAATGTATTGAAGAAGTTAATAAAATCAGTTTGTATAATTCTCTGTTTTACAAACACTCTATGCCTTACTTTATATTTCCATCCTATTCTTCAATTTTGTGATCATTCCCCCAACAAGGACTTGAAGTTCAACCCAGTGCAGTTCCATTGTTACATAATTCAATCGGGTATATATATGTTCGATAGAATTATTTCGATGCTCATATAATTTATGCACGAGAGACAACTAATCCTACTCTCGCACTTCCCCTCAGCCATCTTCAACCCCTCTCTCTCGCTCTTCCCCCTCAGCCATCTTCATTCCCTCATCTTCTCTGTGGGAACTCTTGTAGATATAAGGAAATCTCGGGTTGATTGAAAAACTACCAAGAACTTGTGATCGTGTTGTCAGCATGGCAGTCATCTTTATTTGTGGCAAAGGCGAGAAGCACTAGAAGAAAAAAAAAAAAAGAAGAAGAAGAAGGAAGAATCACGTTGAGAGGTTAAGGAATTCCCACGGAGCACTGAGGACCTGTTAATGCCATATATCAATCTTTGGACTTGTGGCCATCATATTTATAAGAAATATATTGAATTTAATGTTTTGGCTTATATTATACGAAGATATTTTGTTTGTCAAATTGAATGAGAAGCCAGGGAATTACAGTTGGTCTAATTTTTTTTTATTGAAAAAAACAGTTCCTCAGGAATTTGATCGTGGTTCATTTGTATTTCTGAATGTTTTTTGTTCTTCCTTTTTCAAGTTTTACTGAGGTTCTTGGTTGATTACTTGTTTTTGTTATGAAATTGTTATCTTGTTCAAAGTCAGGTATTGACTTCAAACTTGTTTTACTATATAACTCTCCGGGGTTTGTTGGATTGACTTGTGGACTATTAACTTACTTTCCTTAAACATCAAGAATTCCTATTATAATTGTAATTGATTTACTTTAATTCCTGATTTCCTACTGTAAATAGATTTAGGAATTTATTATTTACTTGCCCATTCAGGTTTCGTTGTATTATAAATATGACCTCCTACAAGGAGGAGAATACACAGAAAATTCCCACAAACAAATATTCTCATATTAGATTTCATATTTTAACACGGTTGTCATTTTTACAAATTTCATTTTGATGCAGAGGTATGGACAAGTGTCTGAAGATGAGCTGCCCCTTGGAAGAAAATGTATGGACGAGTATGAATTTTCAATCAAATGTATGTGGGGCTAGAAAATTTGTGTTGGGTTTACTTGTTACTCTAACTTTTTAGTATGTGATGTTGTGAGGAGTATAAAATGTTATGATGAGTGCCTCATTATTTCAGGAAGTGTTGGATATGACTATTTGAATTAGAAATGCTTTTTATTTATTTGGGATTGTGCAAAGGCAACAACAAATGAAATGAAATCCAATGTCTTTTCCATATTATAAGTCAACAAATATGTAAAATATGATGTCTAAAACGCAAAATGCCTTACACTTGTCTCTACACAAGTGAAGTCTTATGGTTATGACAACTTCAAAGCTTTGCAAAAAAATTAATAATAAGTAAAACAATCACAAAAATTGATGCCTATAACCAGAAAAGGCATCAAGGCTTAAGTGAAAAAGTGATATTATAAGGTATATGTAGCATCGACATTTTCTTCGCGACTGATGTAATTGGAACTTTAGGCAACATAGGTCAACCTTCATTGGACACATGATATGACAGGACCCAATCCAAATTCCATTTTGGAATCTGCGCTGAATTTTGTGCGTGGCCAACACTTGCCAGGTGCCGAACACACTTGACCAAATTGCCCTTCTAACGAAATCCAAAATTTCTTTAGGGTTTGACTTATGTTGAAAATTCGGCAGTCTCCCCTGTAAATACTCGTTTCCCAAAAATTTACACATGCACGAAAAACAATTTATAACCCAACCGTTCAGCATGCACAATAATAGGATTCATGCAACCAAACATCAAAACTTTATGGACTCGGGCCTTACAGAAATCCTAGGGCAATTTCAAAGCAACCTAATTCATTAATTTATAATGAAATAACAAGGTCACGGCAGAATATCCTGCATAAAGAAAAAGGAGGAATGTAGAGCGACGACTGCTTTGTGGTGGTGCTCGAGTACGCGACTACTGCCTGGGGGAGCAAAACATTTAAAAGTGTGAGTTGACAAAAATAAAGTTTTGGAAAATAAAGTATTAACATACTAACCCCACTGTTAAAACATTTAGAAAATTCGATTATATTCCTTTTCTATATTCCTACAAGAATTCAAGACATGCATATTTATATACATATTATTAATCATGCATTCAATCGAATCATCAGAACCTTTTGAAAGCATTGTAGAGAAATAATTTCCTCCACCTAGGTGTACCCATAATAAATCTGTCAATTCCATGATTTTCTGTTTAATTCTCACATTATACCGTCAATTCCTTGTGTCACGTAGTGTGACACATCCTCGCAGGCCTCAGTAACACAGAGTCGACCTGAGCCGCATTCCTCGCAAGACTCAGGGGACACTTGGTAATCCTGAGCCGCATCCTCTCGCCTCAAGGTCCGGATATCCCTAAGACTCACGGGGCAAATATCAAATGTGCGTTGACTCAACCGAAGGCAACTAGGATGTTCGTGGACATCATTATAACTGAAGGCAACAAATTATCCGAATGCAACATTTTTGGGTACCCGTGGTGGTTTAAAAACCTTTCCTGAAAAAATTATAATTCTATTTTTCATTAAATCCTTATATCCTGTTATTATTTCCTTTCCTACTTTCTAAGCCATTCATAAATAAACATAGACATAATTTAATCAAAATATTTGAATTCGAATATTTATGCATGGAAAGTAAAAATCATAAGTAAATCATTCAAGTCATACCCAGAATGACGTCCAAATCCATAATATCCAAAGGGATTAAGTCCGCCTCCAAGAACACATCGCCTACCAAAACTGAACTATTCCTATACACCGTACCAACCATAAAAACATCCCCCGTGGGTACAGAAATAGCAAGCTCCTCACGTAGGGCTGTGAGTCTCACATTCACATTATGAGCAAAACTATGTGCAATAAAAGAATGTGTGGCCCCAGGGAAGATCAAAATACGTGCAGAAATTCTAAAAACCGGTAACATACCTATAAGTTGACGTCTGGTGATGCATGTGCCTCCTACTGAGTCATATTGTACACCCTGCCAGTCACTCTGGAACATCCACCGCGTCCCCTCTGCTAGTCGAGCTAGTCTGGGCCCCACTGCTAGATGAGGCTCCCCCAAACTGAGATGTACCTGGCACTCGACTCTGTACTCCACTCCCCTGGGTTGGCCCAGCAATGATTTCTCTACCTTGCAGTAGCATCGGGCACTCCCGCCGAAAATGCCCTGTCTGTCCACAATGATAGCACCCAGAGGCACCTAGTTGACAAGGCCCAGTATGAAATCTGTTGCACAAGGCACACCGGGGGCGATTCCTTCCACTATAAACCGTTTGCAATTGTGTCCCTGAGCTTCTAGCTCTATCATCTCTGGAACGGGGTCCAGAACTACCACTCTTATTAGATCCACCACTGGAATTGACTCCAGCTCGAAAACCTCCATAACTACGGCCACTAGACGATCCAGAATTGAAACTACCCCTTTTGGATGACCCCTGACTAGGACCACCCTTATCGTACTGACGCCGGCGGGAATCACCTCGTCCCCGCACCATCATCTGATTGCTCTCAATCAATGAAGCAGATGTAACCAAATCACCAAAGTTTACTAGACACTGTCCCACCACGATGTCACGGATGGATGCCTTTAAACCCCTAGTAAACAACTGACATTCCTTCCTCTCGTCTGCTACCAATGGTGTGCAATACTTGGATAGTTCATTAAATTTCTTTTCATACTCTAGCACCGTCATACTGCCCTGTTCAAGCTGAAGAAACTCCTCCATCTTCATATTTTGATAAGCCAAAGGATAGAACTGCTCATCAAATGTTGTACGAAAAACTTGCCATGTGATGGTTGATGGGTCATGGTACTGTCTTCTCACTGATTCCCACCAATAACTTGCATTTCTAGAAAGGAAGAAGGTAGCCAACACTACTCTGCGCTCCTGTGGAATGTCCATTACATCCATAATTCTTTCCATCTTTTCTATCCATTCTTCAGCCATGGCGGGATCACCATCACCATTAAATTCCACGGCCCCTATCCTTCTAGCCTGGTCCGCATATGTCAAGGACGCATCTCTGGTATGTTCAGTTCGAGACAGCGGCTGAGTTAACAACTCGAGTGTATGCTGAAAGTTGGGATCAATTGGTGGAGTAGCCATCACCGGTGCTGCCCCTATCTGACCTCCTACGAAAGACTGTTCAACCTGTTCCAGTGCCGGACCCGGAATCGGATAGTTCTCCGGCTCAGGAGGGAGATCATGTCCCTGAAGTCGGGACGACTAATGAGTCCCTATATGAGTACCACCACGCTTTGGGCCCATGATTCTGTCACAAGAAACATGAATTCATCAAAACAGGAATGCACACAAGGTGCGAAGTCTACATGAATTTAAACCTAATGCTTTGATATCAAATTGACAGGACCCAACCCAAATTCCACTTTGGAATCTGCGCCGAACCCTGTGCGTGTCCGACACCTGGCAAGTGCCGAACACACTTGACCAAATTGCCATTTTAAAGAAATCCAAAGTTTCTTTAGGGTTTGACTTCTACCAAAAATTCGACAGTCTCCTCTGTAAATACTCGTTTCCCAAAAATTTACACCTACACGAAAAACAATTTATAACCCAACCGTTCAGCATGCTCAATAATAGGATTCATGCAACCAAACATCAAAACTTTATGACCTCAAGACCTTACAGAAATCCTATGGCAATTTCATAGCAACCTAATTTAGTAATTTACAGTGAAATAACAAGGTCACAGCAGAATATTCTACATAAAGAAAAAGGAGGAATGAAGAGTGACAGCCGCCTTGGGGGCGCAAAACATTTAAAACTGTGAGTGGACAAAAATAAAATTTTGAAAAATAAAGTATTAACATACTAACCCCACTGTTAAAACAGTTAGAAAATTTGATTATATTCCTTTTCTATATTCGTACAAGAATTCAAGACATGCATATTTATATACATATTATTAATCATGCACTCAATCGAATCATCAAAACCCTTTGAAAGCATTGTAAAGAAATAATTTCCTCCACCTAGGTGTACCCATAATAAATCCGTCAATTCCATGATTTTCTGTTTAATTCCCACATTATAACGTCAATTCCTTGTGTCACGTAGTGTGACACATCCTCACAGGCCTCAGTAACATAGAGTCTACCGGAGCCGCATTCCTCGCAAGACTAAGGGGACACTTGGTGATCCTAAGCCGCATCCTCACTCCTCACGGTCCGGATATCCCCAAGACTCGTGGGGCAAATGTCAAATGCGCGCTGACTCAACCGAAGACAACTAGGATGACCGTGGACATCATTATAACTGAAGGCAACAAATTATCCGAATGCCACATTTTTCGGTATCTATGGTGGTTTAAAAACCTTTCTTGGAAAAATTATAATTTTATTTTTCATTAAATCCTTATATCCTGTTATTATTTCCTTTCCTATTTTCCAAGTCATTCATAAATAAACATAAATAGAATTTAATCAAAATATTTGAATTCGAATATTTATGCATGGAAAGTAATAATTATAAGTAAATCATTCAAGATCAATTCATGAAACTTTAATTGCATAAAATCCATTTATAAAACAAAAATCCACTCACTAAGTTTCCGAGCTAGCTTGACCCTTTGAGAGTCCTTCCTATGGGTTTAATGAAGTTCGTGCACCTATTTCAACAATTAAAGACATTTAATTAGTAACATAGCTCAACTATAGATATTTAATCAGAACCCTGACCCCTGGCCTCAAAAGTGCGTGTACAATGTTTATGAAGGTTCCTAGGCCCATTTTCCACATTTCAGGTGGAATGGTCTGAAAAGACCCGAGGTTCAATAAGCGATTAATTTCTCAAAATGGTCAACCCGGTACCCCGTGGGGTCCATGACCTCCAATTACCAATCCGAGAGTTCCTATAGGTTCAACACACTTTACTAAATATGTCTTGAAAGTTTGTTCCGAATCGAACGTTTGGATCGCTCACGATCGGACGGTTATCGTTTATCATAAACTTTGAATTAATGAATTAGAGTATTCGGGGCTCACGATCCGCGAATTTCTACACGATCCTAGAGGTGTCTAGATTAACATATTTGAAAATGAAGTCGATCCAAAGGTCCGAACATATCGAACCCAGATAACGCCTAATATGCGATATCCGATCGATGACCAAACAATAACCAAATTGAAATCCGAGCATACCGTCGTGCTCGGGACGACGTGAGGAACATTCTAGGATAAAAACCCAACCTTGACACTCATCCGACGCGCCACCACGCGCCGCCACCGCCGGTGGGTGTATTGAGTAATTTTCCGGCGATCGGAAAACTCCAAACCGCTGGCCAATAATCATACCTACAGATTAAGCACATCAAGGGGAGCAACTTTATACCTTGGCTCGACGATCAATTCCACCTTTAAAGCCCTCGAACGAAGCTTTCTGTCTCTTGAAAACCTAGAAATTTTAAGTTTCAAAATGAAAGAAATTGGAATGGATTAACGTTGGGATTTCGAGGGATAACACAAAGGGAATGTAGGAGAGTATTTTGAGAGTAATTACCTGAGCTGTGGACGCCGGAATTGGCCCGAAAAGACCACGAACAGCCACTGTTTGAAGCTGCCCGATTTTGGGCTGAGTTTGGCTTGAATTTTGGCTTAATTTTTCTTAGATTTGGGGCTGGAAAATGGTATAGATGTGTAGAGGGGTGAAAAACGAAGAGAATGGGACAAATTTCGTGGCAGGAGACGGCCGGATATAGCCGGAATTGTTGCCGGAAGCTGCTGCCGTCGCAGCTGGCTGAACAGAGGGGAGAGAGAGAGGCTGCGCAGGAGGGAGGAGAGAGAGAGAGGTGTGGTTTTTAAAAACTGACTTCGTAAAAATTACGATTGTGCCACTGATCTTCTTTTGATCGTAACTTCTTCGTTACAACTCCGATTTGAGCCAACTACATGTCTATGGACTCATCTCGACGTGCTCTATGCAACAGTACAACAGAAATTCTCAAATTTCTTCCCGAATAAAAAGTCAACTTTTAAACCATTAAAATATTCTCAGAGTAAAATTATCTTTTATTTGAATAAATTAATAATTAAATATTAATTTAAGTTCGGGTTATTACATGATAGCCTCCTAAAGCATCGCTATATATATATAATAATAAAAAACTGATGCCGTAACTGGGAATAAATAGGCAACGGATAAAAAGCTAAATTTTGGCATAGTGAATGTTCATGCATGTATAGATGTTAAAACACAAAATCATTTAGTGAATGCAATCCAAGATGATTTTGATATTTAATGGCTGTGACAAGTATGTAAAACATCCTTATTCACTTCTCAACCAATAAGTTCTTAGTATTTTATACAGAGATGTAAGTATAGATTAAGCAGTTGTCAACCGCTCCAACACAACACAGAAAAGCTTGAAGGAGATGTTTACCTCTTTGCATGAGTTAGTAATTACACAGATATTTTGGATGGGATTTGGTAAGATTATAAGCAGAATACCATATAGTCGTGCATCATACAAGATATCAAAATGATGAAGATGTTTAGTATATGTCATAACCAAGCACTATAAACTAGCCTAAGACAGCTCCTCACGTAATATAACTGCACAAACAAAACAAAAAAAATGGATCTTCTGAAAAATAAACATACGGAATTGTTTTGAAAAATAGATCACCTAACACTGTATGATTCTTCTAAATTTGAGTGTACAATCAACTCAGGACTGTTTTGACCCCAAAAAAAAAAAAAATTCAACTCAGGACTGTAGCTTTTTATGACTGAAGCTGCATCTTTTGTACAAAAAACATGGCAGGGGGAAGAATATATTATGCAGTAACAAAAAAATATCTTTTGTAAATTGTAAGACAAGACGACCAAGTCAAGTTGAAACCAGAAAGCAAGCAAGTCAGTTCCCTATAATCAACATCAAAATGCTGCAGCATACCTTAGTTTTCGGTCATTGTCTATATTACACAGTATGAAGCACAACAATCATCATTGACAAATAGGTACACAAAGTTAAAGAAATGACATTGGTAGCATAGTGTGCGCTTCCCAGCCTGAACCTTGCGTGGATTGGGATCAAGTGTTGGAGTGATTGCTCTCAGATCGTTCACAGCATCAGCTTCCAAAGAGTGAAAATATGTGCCGACACAAAATGGGTGCAGAGGTCTAATTTTATTTTTATTGAAAAAAACAGTGCCTCTGTTGCCAGATAACCATTTTGTTAAACAGAATCCAAATTCTAGTAGCTAATCATAGGCTAGGCTAAGACAGGCAGACAAAAATATAAAGCAAATAACATCAAAAGATTACTAAAACTAACTATCACATCATCAAGTCCTATTCCTCAAAAATGGATGATCTTGATCTTGATGTCAATCAATCTCAGTTTACGTTCAGTCGACCACACAGAGAGTTTGATACTCTTTGTTGGCAATGGCTGCTTCCAGGAGCTGATGCCGGCCAATTTCCCCACCATTATCCAAGAAGGACTTGATCAATGTCTTCGAGCTTCCCATCAGGAGGGTCACTCCTGGATGAGGTTCTTCTACATAATGCATAAACCCCGCTATGTCCCAAATATTCCAAAACAAAATGTGTGGCATCGCATCATCCCCGTAACCTTGCTCCTTAAACTTGCTGCGTTTTGCCTCATACAGAGTCTTCCAGGATGTGCTGCAACCACCAAATCTTACGGAGTCGGTGATTACAAACACCTTCTTGATCATCTGCTCCGCCTTCAAGTTATTATTCACAGCCACTTCCAGAATCAAATCACACACCTGATCAAAATCAACACCCTCGCGGTACCTGTTGCTGCATGTGCTGATCACAAAGTCGTACCTGGACCAGGGGCGGAGCTACATTGGGACTAGTGTGGTCACAGGCCCCCACTCAATTTTTTTATATTTTAAAAGTAATATACTGTTATGTATTTCTATATGTATATTATTTCAAATACTTTATGTTATGATATGTACCTACATGTGTTGTGGTGGACTTATTAAGGCACAAGGAGATGCTTCAAATTGCCTCTTTGCTCGGCTGGTAGTGGTGCACTCCATGTGTACAAATTACCTTATTTCCATTTTCAACATTTAAGTAAATGTCTTTGTCCTTTTACTTTCCTTTATTTTTATATTATTCCATTTACTTAAGTTTACAATGTAAATAAGGAAGTATCCCTTATTTGGATTCAAATAAAAATACTAGAAAATCAAATTCCCACCAAATCAAAATATGAAAAATCGGTTTTAGTGCAAAATACGATTTAGGCTAAAAATGATGGCTCATTAAGTCAATATATACTTCATACTAAAATCCCATAAAATCAAGTTTTCTTATTTGATGTGTAAGGAATAAAAGCCGCCAAAAATTATCTTGAGAAAATAATTATTTTGAAAAACTATTTTTCATACTTCGTCAATATTTTTACATAAAACATTTTTCCATGTATGATATGAATGCATGAAGGGACCTAAGGTTTTTTTTAGTTTGTGAAACTTTGATTTTTTCTTTCTATTGGCTTTAATGGGGGGAAAAGCTTCAAAGATATTTGCTAAATCGCTACTATTTGTCTATCTCTTGCAATTTTTCTTGCTCAGAATGTATTTTTCTATCCCTTTGTTGAGGACAATTATGATTGCAACCAATAAGCAATATGATTCTTGACATATGTGATATATATATACTATTTTTTCGTATGTATTGTGAGTTCGAATTTTTGATTCTTTATAATTTGTAAAAGGCCCCTACACACATGAAATCCTGGCTTCGCCGCTGACCTGGACTTGAGATCACTGCCTTGTATCGAATGCAGCAGCGGCAGCTTATCAGGCAATGGACCCAGAGTGATCACCTTTCCTTTCCATGCTGGCTCTTCACTCAATTCAGACACCAAAATTCCCAAACTTGCCGCCAATTCTGCGACTGGTGCTGCGCTCATGGCGTAGGTGATGTTACACACTGCCAAGCAGTTCTTAAATTTGTTCTCCTCCCCCTGGTATATGTTCTCCATCATTGCCTTCCACTGAATCTCAGCTGTTTCCCCAATATCCTTATCTTTTACATATCTTATGATATCATTTGGAAGCAATGCATCCGACTTTATGATGATGCCGCCTGCTTTCACCTCCTCCAAATACTTCTTGACCACACAGGGCTTTTGAATGGAATAAAGATGCATGCGTTGACGACTATACTCGGTCAAGGGCTCCAAAAACTCCTTCCTAAGCCGTTCCCATTCTTCTGATTGATCTGATTATGGCGGGAAAAGAATCCTCCCAAGGCTTTCAAACAACAAAACGGCGCGGGTAGCCTGGACTTGTTCAGGGCTGCTGGGAGTGCAACATTCTGCAGCCTGGCTAACAAGAAGCAGTTTATCATTATCTTCAGATTCCAATTCCATCTTCAGTCTGTGCTGCTTCAATTTTTCAATATCAGACTTCAACTGCTCCGCCAAGACCTCCATAACCCGGTCGTGCAACAACTTATAGTGCGCGTCACGGTGGAGCCTCTGCGCCGCAGATTCTTGGCCTTGTTCTAGAAGAAGGCCGTAGAGAATCTCAACAAGGTCCCACAAACGAGCTATCGAGAGGTAGAAGGAGCCGGAGCCGGCAAAGGAGGGGATGTTGCATAATAGCGTTTTGGGGTGGTTGTGGTGGAGCCAGGATGCGGCCGCGTAGAAGGCTGCCGGAAAATATTTTTCTCCAGGACCATCGAGAGAGTTGAGATTGAAGATGAGCTTGAGGGTGGTTAGGGAATTGTGGGACCAGGCCACCGGCAGCAGTTGCTTCAGATAGTTTATGGTGGCCTTGTTATACTGCTCCAGCTGTTCATCACTGGGCTCTGGTGGTGGGAGACACATTCTTACGACGTTGTCTGGTGATTTCACGTGGAAAAACAGATCATGGCACGGATCACCGTAGGAAATAGGGGAGATGGAAAAGATGTTCTTGGCCATGTCATTGTCCCCATTGGAGTTGGAAACCATGAATCTTCTTACGAGCAGTGGAAACGGAGGAGGAGTAGGAGGAGACAAGACTTTCAGAACCCTGATGAAAGTGAAACACACTTGCACTGACATTGATTTCTTCATCGCTAATATTCCTCTAATTCAAATTCAACACTCTCTCTTGATCTTGAGTGAGGAATAGAAGGGTGGTTATATATTCGCCACCTGCTTGGGCACCAAGGATTCTCGAATACATTAGATAAGTATTAGATCTTCACCGAAAGAAATAGGAGATAAGTATAACACAAATATATCTCTGTCTTTTTTTCAGTTATTGAGTTCCATAAAAATACTTTCAACTAAACATAATCAAATGCAAATATTATTTCGGCAAGTGTTGGATGTGACTATTTGAATTAGGCAACAACAATTGAAATGAAATCCAATGTCTTTTCCATATTATAAGTCATCAAATGTGTAAAATATGATGTCTAAAATGCAAAATGCCTACACTTGTCTCTTTATATTTATTTATTTTTCCTTTCCTTTTTGGCCTGCTTGGGCACCAAGGAATTATAAAATAAATAAAAAAGAGATAAGTATAACATAAATTTTCTAGCAAATGAAGAAGAAAAAAATTGGAAAGGAGAGACTGGGAGATGAACAATAGAGTAATTTCATTCCAATTTCCAAAATATCAAACAACAAAGATTATAAATTAGCAAAGAGGAATGCTATTCACAATCGCTCAAAAGCGATTGTCTCATGACTTGCTAGACACGTGGATACACAACCGCTTGCTGCATTCTCCTTCCTTTTTTTAATTATTGTTTCTCTTTCTTCTCTCGATTTTGCCTCTCTCTCCTTTTTTTAATTATGTTTTCTCTTTATTCTCTCGGTTGCCTCTTCCTTTCTCTTTTTTAATTCTTTTTTCTCTTTCTTCTCTTCTTCTCTCCGTCCGTCCGTCTCTCTGTCTCTCTATTTTTTTTTTTGGGTAAAAGGAGGAGCAAAAGCCCAGCAACAGAGAGACTACAAAGGAAGAAGGCGAGGTCTGGAGGTTGTGAAAGAAAAGCTGAAAGCCGAAAGCTGTTTGTGTAAGAAATAGTTTTCCCTTGGCCCAAATAAAAAGAGCACATTTCTCCATTGACCCAAAAAACAAAAGCGTTGCAAATGGTTTTATAAGCCCATCACCAATAGCCAAGTTGTTTCGTGTTATCAGCAAACTTGTTGTCCCAAATGTCGATTTTGGAGAGGTTGATGTTCCCATTTCCTTTTGGGAAAAAGTATTAAAATTTTGATGGGGAAAAGTAAAAGAGAAAGCAACCAGAATTGTTGATTCTGGGGCAAAAATGGTTCAACTTTTAGAGGTGAGATTGGTAACAAGCACAAACTAGTCCACTTTTTTTTAAGAGCAACACAAGAATTGTGTTGAAGACCCAAATTTCTATTTCCAAACGAACCTCCAAAGCCCTTTAAAAGAGTCAAAACTGCGTGCACAACAAACTTCTCCTTGTAAATGCAGCTTTATTGAGTACATGTTCTTTGCACCTCTAGCTTTTTCAAGGCCAATAAAGACTCGGTTCAAAACATTTTTATCTGCAAATAAGTTTGTAGCTTGATCATGAAAACCTTTTCTAAAGATGAAATTTCTGTTCCATCTCCTCAAACTTCAAACTGCACATCAACTAGTGACCATTCTAATAAAGATGATCAAGAAATGGGCTCTAATGCAATGTCGGATGAGGGAGAGGTCTCGAACAACTCAGCCTTCTTCTGTTTCCCATTCCACATGGATCTAAATCTTGTTCGCGTGGTGAGAAACGATCAAACCTTTCAACTTTCTTGATGAGCTTTGTGATGTAATATTCTTAACAATAACAAAAAGTACTGCTGCAACAACACATGTACACATTTACACATTTAGGTTAACAAAACATTTTAAGACCCCTTGTACTTTAATAAACATGTTAAGCAGGTTTTTGCAGAGATGGTGGGGACTTTTATGTTGATGTTCTGCGTATGTGGGATCATAGCAAGCACACAGCTGATGAGAGGGGAAGTTGGTCTTATGGAGTATGCAGCCACAGCAGGTTTAACTGTAGTAGTTGTTATTTTCTCCATAGGGTCAATTTCTGGTGCTCATGTCAACCCAGCTGTCACAGTAGCATTTGCAACCTTAGGTCATTTTCCATGGTGCAGGGTACTTAAACCATTCAACCCTAATGAAATCCTCAGCTCTAATTATATTTAATTAGGGTGTTTAAGCAGCAGATTAATGTTGTTCCTGTTCCCTATTATTCCAAAGGTTCCTGTTTACATATTGGCTCAAACAATGGGTTCTGTTCTTGCAACGTACATTGGGAGGCTTGTCTATGGCATAAAACCAGATCTCATGACCACCAGACCACTTCAAAGCTCTGCCTCTGCCTTCTGGGTTGAGCTTATTGCAACTTTCATGATTATGTTCCTAGCTGCTTCATTGACACATCAAGCTCATGCTGTAAGGAAAAAACTTCCATCTTTTTTTTATTTCGCTTAGGGTTCTTATTGTTATCTAACATGGTATCAGAGTTTCAGGTCGAAACGTCCAATCTCATACCCAACTTCTTTGTTAGTTTATAAATTATAAGGTGCTCTTATGTCCACCATTTGGAATTTTTTTGCAGGTTGGCTATTTGTCTGGATTTGTAGTTGGCATTGCCATTGGACTTTCTGTGCTCATCACAGGGTAGGTCTATATATACAAACAATATAAATGCAGCATCTACATTAATTTTAATTTCTCAATCCACTTGTCATTTTTCCTTTTATACAACAATTGTCGTCTATGAGATTTGAACTCTGGACTTCCTCCAAACATGAAAACTGAGTATGGATACGCATTAATGCAGGCCTGTTTCAGGAGGGTCAATGAACCCAGCAAGGTCACTGGGGCCTGCAATTGTTGCTTGGAACTTCAAAGACCTATGGATATATATTTGTGGCCCAACAATTGGAGCTGTTGCAGGTGCTCGCCTATTTCAAATTCTACGCCTTCAATTGCAGCCCTGCAGTCCCAGCAACACTTCCTCTCCCAATATCCTTCTGCTAGGCCAACCCTTGGCCTATGAAGCAACTTAGGCTGTTTTTCTGCACAAGAATGATGCTTTATTGAATTGGAAATTTGTCGACTCGATTGCAACAATAACTGAGAGAAGACATCAGCTGCAACTGAGATTTGCAAAAAAGCAGAACTGCTACTAGTGAAAACAAAATTGATGATGCGGTAGAATAATTGGTGGTAGTTTCTTACTTTACCAACTTTCTTTGAATTGGTAAAAGGTGGAGATGTCATCACTTCTTTGTTGCAAAGGATGAGAGTGAATAAAAATGAAGTTTGATGTCTAACAAGTTTTTGAGATCACCATATTGTTCTTTCTTGCTGGCCCTTGACCAACTGCTATGGACACCAATTAGCAAAGTGCCATAAACTCCAATTTACTTATTAAATAATTTTAAAGTATCGCAGGTGAAAAACAAAATTGATGCATTCGATGTGAATGAAAATTATAAAATTCATAAGATGGGTACACGCACACACGATGAAAATAATTAGAAGAATAATGAACCATCCAGGAATTTGTAGCTCGAGTGGTTAAAGACTGAACTCTTAAAATAATTAATACTAAGCTTCATGGTGTCTTTCAACTCTCAAGGTTGTTGATTCATACATTCAACATGAAATGGAGGGGCAAATAATAAAATTTAAAGTTACAGATGTGGACATAAACTCGGATATCTTTGGGCCAATAAATTGACCAACTCAGACCTGTTCTCGTTTTGCTTTTGGATTGCAATTGTAATTCCGAGTAAACCAAACCCAACCTAACCCAGAAACTAGAGTGCCTTTTGCTTTTGGGTCAATCATTGGATTGGATATCCACTGTTATGAAACAGGTTTCTCTTATACCAGCTCAGTAACGCGAATATTTCATTTTCATTACCACTAACAAACAAGTTACAAGTGCCTATTCACTGGTCGGTAATAGTCTTTTTCTCCAAAGTGGTTTTGGATTTGTTTCCTCAACTCCCTGTTTGTGTAAACCAAGACTAAATCCATTTAATAAGGATGCTTCTAAACTTTGCCTTAATGCTTTTTTCGACACATTGAAAATCCATGCCGCATACTAAATATATCATGTCTGGATTATGATGCTTGTCACTTCGTCGAGACCGTTTAAGAGACTCGGCCTGTTGAGAGTATTTAACATTAAAGATGGAAATGATAATGAGCATTTTCAATTAATTTTGAGTTAGATATTTTAATTCTCAGACAATAATTATTTACTAGTTAAATCCAATAGTAACACATGCTCTCATATCACCAAATAAATCCAGCCTTAATTGTTTGTCTTGTGGATGTATGCTTCCATGCATCTTGATCGAACTAAACTAGAGTTTTTGTTACAATAGCACAAGAGAGGTTGGCACAATATGAACAGAAATGGTGAGGATATTCTGTGACCAATCAAGAGGATACAAGATGATGATATAATATTGCTGATGGGTTCCTAAAATGGGAACACTTTATGTTGCATATATCCATCTATTAGTTTAAATGCATTAACCAATTTCTGGTTGGGTCTTCCTTAATGCATTAACCAATTAGCACTGCATTATTCTTCTCAATCATTTTCCACCTCTCTGACATGGAATAACACCTAAACAATAACACATGAATCCTACAAATATCATATTATACTTTGTGGGTTCTATCTCATTTGACAAAATTAAGAGAACAATTGCGACCCTTAATCTTATCTATAATTATTTTAGTCCCCCATTAATTAGTGAAATTCCAACCCAATCTCTTCTAGAAATTGTATTTTGAAGACCATTGACCCTTATTTCTAAATAGTATTGTTATTTGTATTACTTCTGCTGACCACCTCTTTAATGCAGTTCGGTCTCATATATATTGATAGAGTCCATCTTTATTAAAGAGTTAGTCAGCAACGGGGTACAAAAAGCATTATTGATTTCTAAACTACCAAAAAATCATGATTAATTTGAACTCACACACTTGTGTTGCTTTGAGCTACAGAGCTAGCCGAAGCTTTGATTGTTGAAGACCCGGTCATTTTCCAGCCAAACTTAAAATAACGCATACCTTGACGTGGAGAACACCATAAACATCACATCAGTCGAAATCTCTCTCTCTCTGTCTCTCTCAGTGCTCATATTTTTATTAATCTAATTAAAACTATCTTCCATTATGTAATGTAAATGAAACTTGGGCTCAGTCATAGATTTTCTCATCAAACAAACGGCATAATATACAAGACCAGCATTAAGCTCCAAGTGCCAAAGCCAACACTTTCCTGTTCCAGACACCCTGGAATGGCTGCTTCTGCATAATTTAACCCTTGTTTCCTCTTTCCTAGTTGGATATGATTGCTCTTTCATCACTGTTTTTGGGGTTCGCCTTTGTTGTGATTAATTGTTTTTTTATATATATATTAGGAATGCTATTCCATTGATGTGTGTGTTGAGTCTTATTCTTTTATTTTAAACCTAAATTATTTTCATCTTTATAGTATAGTTCAATACCATCAACAATAAACCTCATTTAACTTTATCATATTTACAGACAAAAATAAGGGCACTTATTTTATAAATTGTGAAGAAAAAAAAACATAATCTTATTAAACGGTTACATCTTGTGAAGAATATCTTTTCTCACAAAAATACCACTTCGTTATGATGGTGAAATCCTTATTGTATTCATAAATTTTTCATGATTCCATAAGAAAATTGAAAAATAAATAAAAATAGATGCATTATCCATGATAATGGACAAAATAGATGCATTATCCATGAGAATGGACAATGGATGCTGCCATAACTTGGTTATCTCAAACAATATGATCCAATATTCGATATGAATACATGGAATGTTGACGTTTAAAAAGTTGGTCCCCCAAGCACTGGTTGATCACAACTTTATATATGATGGGTCACATATCCACAACCATCCACCAAAGTTATGTATGAATTTGGAATGTACCCCAAGGTCCATTGAAAAAAAAGGAAAATTAGGTTTATGATATCTATAAAATAAAATAAAAGAGAGAGAAAAGAAATAAGGTTTATGCGCAAGTCCAAATCAAGGGTAGGAGTGGTTGAGCAAAAACTTGGTCTTTTATCTTTTGTGGAAACGATCTTCTTACTCATCACATCCAATGCAAGTGTCTTTTATTGGAAATTATGGCCTCATACATTGCCACTTGGGTTCTAGTCCCACCAACACCAACCACTATTCTCCTCCTTTTCCTTGATCATAGGGAAATTAGGAAAGCAACTTTGGTCTTTATTTCTTGGTTGAGAAAAATGGATTTCGGCTTGTTGATTCAAATTATATTGATCGTCCAATCAAGAAAATCCTATAGGAATACTTAATTTACAGTTAAAAGGGAACTAGATTATAGTTTATAACTAAAATTTAAACAAAAGATGAATGAGTAAGAGTTTGTTTAAGACTCCTTCAACAGAAAACAATGTTGCTCTTAAGTGTTTTTTTAGAAGTGTGTTTTTGGAAGCCCTTCTATTAGAAGAACATCGAAATTATTAAAAATTCAAGTGCTCATTGAAAGAAAATACTTGGAAGTGATTGTTGAAGAAGCACATAGACAGTACTTTTCCAAAAAGCGTTTTTATCACCCAAATTATTTTTCTAGCAAACCATATCATAATCATTTTGTAGCTCTTTCAGAAGTAGTCCCAAATAGGCTCTATTGATAAAATAAGAAATTACAAAAGTTTGCTAGTGAGAGAAGAGAGATGTGTTAAAGTGTTTTAGGGAAAATATTAGTACCATTTAAACTCTCACCTCACTGCCAACCAATGGAAAAATGGTCTTGACTTACAGACTAGTAGTCTCAAGTTTGAACCCCCATGACATCTTTGTATTGTATGTGTGAGAAACCTCCATTCCCTTATAGTTAAGAATATCGCTTATATATACTATTGACCTCACTCACCTTTTGAAACTTTTTAATTACAATTTTAACCTTACATAGGTTTTCGCTAAAATAACACATTTAGGAGTGAAAATAATGGGAGGTGAGCAATTATATCAGCAATGCAGTATAGGTGAGTAGACAATGGGAAGTGGCCGCTCTTTTCTTTTATGTACCTCTAAAATAGGGAGAAACACTCTCATGCAATGGGTATAACACTTTTTGTTATCTCTAGCCAATAATGCAAAAACACGTGGACTAATTTTCCCACATATCATTGTGTTATTGATCGAATATAGCAAAATAGTGTTATTCCCGTTACAAGAAAGTTTTTTTTACAAATAAGAACTGCCTATGATAAACCAAAATGGCCCTACTAGGGTTTCCCACAGCTTATCCACTCAACTCCAATGCTGAATTTTATTTTATTTTGGGTCAAGAACTCCAATGCTGATTGGACGTAATAATATTGTAGGCTTATCTTTGGGTGGAAAAGTAAATAAGCCCACTTGCTGTTCTTGTCACATTCATTCAAACCAAAATAAAGGTTCCCATTTTTTAGATCGAGAATTTTCATTTCAATGCCTAACATCTTTACACTGCTGACTGTCACGTCTCGTTCAAGTTTGGTCCACCATTGTAATCATATAAAATAACAATAACACGTAATTGCTTCAAAAAGTAAAATGAAAATAAATAAAGGGGAGGAAAGGAGGAAGATGAAAGTGAAAGAGAATAACCATGAGATGTGGTGTGGTGGTAGCTCACCTCATTCATTAACCATGAAGTTGGGGATTCGATCCCCGCCCATGGGAATGGAGCGCATTTTGTGGCCAGCCGTTTACCTCCATTGGGAGAGCTCCCGCGGCGAAAGGGATTAGTCACTACTGTCGGCGGTGGATACCCTTGGGTCTCACCTAAAAAAAGTGAAAGAGAATAAAAATTTTCAATAACATTTCTTTTTCCTATGTCTAAAAGTTGTCCCCATATAGAAGGAAGAGGCAAGACACTAATGAGTTGGAGCTCACCATTTGATGTATATTGTTGCTAAATTAAGGTTTAACTTGAGAATTATAAAAACGCACTCTCCATTTTTGCACAATATTTCCATCCATGCAAAGAAAAAACTTCAAAATTCATTATTCATTTTGAAAAAAAAATAGCACTTTTTGTTTTTTTTTTTTCTTTTAAGGTTTGAGAGAACTTCTAAGGAATCACTTTTCATGTTTGAGTGCATGAAGAAATGTAGAAAACTATATTTTCGTTGCCCTAATAATTCTTGTCATCTTCCTATCAAGGGTATCTTAACTCATTGTCATTAGATCATTAGATCTATGGACTGCACTTAAAAGTCTAAAAGATTAGCTTGCTTAACTCATTGTCATTGGTCGAGTGACAAATAATTAATAACTTTTTTTTCCTTTGGCCTGAAT